GCTGGACCAACACGGGGGCCACATCGGACTTTGGCAGGCGTTATCTGTGCGCAATAACAAATGCCAACATTCCCGGGGTGCGCTGGCGGACCCTGTTGTCGGCATTCGTCGCACAACTGGACCACTGCCTCCACCCCATTGTGTTGTTGTCAAAATCCTGGTCTTGGTGTGTGGACCAGGGGTGCGGAGTGGAGCGCCAAGGCGAAGACCCGTCCGAGCCATCCACCTGCGGCCTCCCCCGTCTCCGGTCTTCTTGACTCTGTCTTGACACCGGGCCCAGGCGGGGGAGGAGGAGAGAGTGTAGGTAGATGCAGCGCAAGTCTACTGGCACTATAAACCCCCTGCGCAAGTCACCGTCCCTGCTCCCACAATGCAGTCTGTGGGGCACACGGTGGTCATCGTCGAAATCGACGGACGAACTGTCGTGTGTGTGTGTGTGTGTGTGTGTGTGTGTGTGTGTGTGTGTGTGTGTGTGTGTGTGGTGTGGCAGACTGGTGGGCTGAGAGCCAGACTGAAGCGGTTCCTTCTCCAGCGATCCGTGACACTCTCAAGTCTGTGTGGGGAGTGTGTGTACATTATGGTTAGTGCCTTTCGGTCGACGACTCAGTCGAAGTCTGTTTGGTTACCTAACCTTGAAGAGTGACGACCCAGGCTAAAAGCAGGGAAACATGTCGCACTTCTAGGTCAAAAGGTCTTTAAACGTGTGCAATGCCAGTATCAGCAAACCATGGCCCTCGCAGCCTACTATGCGCTGGCAGTACCCTGACACCTGGTTGCCTGCCGGTAGATGCACTTGCAATTCCGCTAAGTACACCGGTGATGGGCATGACTGCCCACTCAGCCTCGTCGCTCTGTCCCCTGTTGGGGTGTTGTTGTAGTTGGCGACAAATCCTGGTCATTTGCTGTTTGGACCAGGGGGTGTGGTGACAGGTTTAGGTGCGGCTCTGGCCGTGCCAGCCACCTGCGCCCTTCTCCCACCTCCGGTCTTCTTGACTCTGTCTTGACACCAGGTTCAGGTGGAGAGTGGGGAAGAGAGAATGCGGTAGATGTTTTGCGAGTGCACTATCACTATAAACTAACTCACACACAAGTCACCGTCCCTGCTCCACATTTCTTGGAGTATACGGTGGACATCGTCGAAACCGACGGTTGAATTGTCGTGTGTGTGTGTGTGTGTTTGCCCCTCAAACTGGCCACGTGGTAGATGCGCTGGACCAGCACGGGAGCCATATCGGATTCTCACAAGCGTTATCGGATTTGCGCACTGTAGTAAATGGCAACATTTATAGGTGCGGTGGCAGACCCGGTTGCCAGCACACGTGGCGCACGCTGGGACCCCTGCCATCCGCCGATTGTTGTTGTTGTTGTCCAATTTGTTGCATAGACCACAGGGCGTGGAGGAGAATGCCAAGGGGCAGGCTCGACCGCGCTTTCCACCTGCGCCCTTTCCCGCCTCCGGTCTTCTTGACTCTGTCTTGACACCAGGCCCAAGTGGGGGGGTGTTGAAGAGAGAGTGCGGTAGATGCCGTGCAAGTCTACGATCAACATAAAATAATAATCGCACAAGTCACCGTCTCTGCTCCCATTTTGTTGTGGAGCACGAGTAAGATATCGTCGGCAACGACGGTAGAACTTTTGGTAGTCCCATAACATTCGCTTTAGGGAGCTCATCCATACGAAACTCGGATACATCATGACCGCTGGCAGTTTCTTTTGATAGGCTGTCACCTCAGGCCGAAGTCGGCCAGTGCAACTTCAAAATCTATGAGGTTTATAATGTTGTGGCCGGACATAAACTACCTCGCTCATTTGAATGATGATTCGTGGGATTATTACTTGTCTTTTAGAAAATTTAGATGACATTGTCTCCACATTGAAGGGTAACAATGTTCCAGGACGAAAGGGCTTTTATAGGCGCATTTGCTCACGTAAGTTAAGGAGGAATGTAAGTAACTACTTACGAGCCCTATTCACAAGGATCTATCCAACCGCGCTCACCCAAAGTCCGACATGAGACAGGATCCAACAGTCTCACAGAAGCTGATGGACGCAATACTCACAAATATCTGGAAGGCGGTTCATAAATGGACCATATTCTAGCTGCTGCGGTCAACAGGCTGGAGCCTATAAACCTTGGATTCAAGATCTTTCTGAAGAATAGGCAAGTTCTGAAGGAGGAGATACACATCCTCCGTATCAAAGATTCACGTACAAGCGCGAGGCCTCGAACTTAATTGAAGGTCCAAATAAAATTGGCTAGAATTCAAATATTGAAATACTTCCTCAAGCGAGAATGTAAAAAATTATTATTAAACCTTTACTGTACATATAATCACGAATTTTTTAGCAGCGGCAGCTTGCACCTGGCTCAAACTTGCCGCTAACTTTTGAATTTCCGCTTATTAGCCGTCGTCAGCCAGTCAGATCCAACCCCGAAGTGTGAAACACCCGGGTCTTGGACTCCCGACATGTAGGTTAGCAGTCCGACGCCTCCATTACTGGGACACGGACCCTTTCTCCTGTCCGTACCATTCTATATTCCCGATCGAAACCAACAGGACGACGGGTCCGTGGCCCAGTGGTTAGAAGCGTGGACTTCTAACTAACAGGTCGCGAGTTCGAGCCTCGGAAGTTACACACTACGGAGTTGAGTATGACTGGCTGAAGACGGCTAATATGCCAGATGTGGTCATTCCAGTTTCTCTTGTCTTTGTCAGTAATGCTATTCGGCCTATATTATGCGCCGCTGTGCGGCTGCTGGTTGGGTTCGTGAGAGAGCCCGTAAGGCACAACGGAACGAGTTAGTTCCGTAAGAACGATCAGTGAGTGCCCCTCTACCATTAATTAAGAATGCAATTCCAGAGTACCCAGTCGCGCTACGTGGTCGGACGCCCTTTATTTCATAGCATTTTTTAACTCATTTGCAATTCACCATGCCGCTGACTTTAAGTACTTACATGTAAGTCGCTCGGCATAGCGTTTTACTAGACAGCACACCACACTTCAGAAATGGAGGTTGGTGGACTACCTGTAGAGTAGGCTGGTCTGTGAGATTTTTTAATGCAGCCCCACCTGATAGGCATAATACAATTGGGGTTTGGAGTTAGGGTTGGATGTAGGGATCAGGGGTTAGGTTTAGGGTTAGGGCAACTATTTATCAACCACTCAATGTAGTAGCACGCACACCCAATAACTTTTCTTTTGTATACAACAGTTGCCTGTGCGTCCTCCGGCCCCACCTGTAAAAACCCCCTACTACTACTATGACAGGTGGCTGGACGTTGTTTACTTCCGAGGTCGCTACATGTGACCGGCTGGTCTACTAGGCTCATGATAGCGGAAGGTGAGTTTCAGTCGGTAGCAATCGGCTGAATATCCTGCAGATACCATTGACCCATCCTAGGCCTTCAGTTGCTAATCCAAGTTTTGGTATTCAGTCGGCACTTTCTCGAGTCCCTGTCCAACGTTAGAAGAGTGACTCTGTTTTTAATCTCTCAACTTCAGCTGGAGCTCTAAGATCCCGTACACGACATGCCGTCCTTATTACTTACAGTGCGTGACCGATCTCATGAAATGTTGGCCGAAATTCTGTAGTGCGTTTTTGACTTGGAAGGGTCAATAAGGTGACGTTGTAATATTAATTATCGTGCAGCCTAATCCTATAGTACTTCGAACTCGGCAGGATGTTAGCTGTTGAATGCACTCCTTTTTGTCCTACCGTAGAAACCGTACTCGGTAAAAATGTGGCTACTTAAGTAGGAGGCATTTTTCACATCGATTTTTGATGGTCTTATAAATCAAAAAATAT